ACCTCTGCCCAGTGTGTGTGTGTTTTAACAGGAGACCTCACTTCTGAACTTATGAATAAATACTCCACTTATTACAATTAAAGAAATGTGAATTTCACCACTAATTTGATACTTTTTTCACTTATCAAATTGTCAAATATCAAACAGCTTAAGAACACTGTGTTGGAGAAATTAGTGCCCTCACTGTTGTTGGTGAAAATGAAGACTGGTAAGACACCTAATGAGAGCAATTTGACATTATTTATCAAAATTTTAAATTCGTATACCCTTTGACCCAGAAGTTCCACTTTTAAAAATCTATCATATATATGTATAAACACACATACGAGGGTACTTCAAAAAGTGCAGGGAAAGATTTGTATTATCTTTTAATTCTATTTTTCCATGGATTTTGTGAAGTACCCTCAAGTACGTACGTGTGTGTGTGTGTGTGTGTGTGTGTGTGTGTGTGTGTGTGTGTACCCAAAGACATACATAGAAGGATATTTATATTTATTGTAGCATTATTTGTAGCAGTGAAATATAGGAAACAAACCAAATTTCCATTGATGGTACATGGAATACCTTCATAAAATGAAATGTTTTATGCAAATGTTTAGAAAAATAAGATAGATATAAATATACTCATATATGGAAAAAGCCCAACATATATTAAAAGAAAAAAAGCCAAGTGCAGACAGTATGTATGCAGTCTATGCAAACATGCATATTCATATGTACAAAGGGTCTTCAGAAAGTTCATGGAAAACTTTGTATTATCTTTTAATTCCATTTTTCCATGAACTTTTTGAAGTACCTGCATATGTATAGATTATATCTGTGCTTCTATAGCCTTGCCTGGGGGTGGAGGAGGAGAGTGGACAGTACAGGGATAGGGTGTGGGAACAGCGCGGCTGGGACAGGAGGGCAGGGACAGGAATGAGCTTCCTCACTGTACACTTTTTATGATGTTTTGATTTTCAAATCATGGGATTATATTATCTACCTAAAAATAAAAATAGGAAAAGAAAATAAAACAAACCTCCTCTGCACTCTTCAAATCAAAAGAACCCAAACCTGGAAAAACACTCCATAAAATTAAATTTGACCCTAGAGCGAGGACTATGCTAATCAAAAGGAGTAACTGACTCAAATGGTACAATTTAGGTCATTTGAGACTGGCCAACAGAAAGGTATTTTAAGGCGGGTGACTTTTTCATAATAAAGGGAGTATCATCCGGCCCTCCCCGGGTCCGGCATGCAGTGCCCCGCCCAGCCACCCAGCGTGGGGCTCATGTTTGCTGTAGCTAACGTTTCTTAAAAGACTCTACAGTGCTGCCATCCACGAGGTCACGATCAGGGGATAATCATTCCCGTGATCAGTACCCCGATCGTTTCACGACCTCTTACCGTGTGACTCTTCAGAAGCTTATCCCATTGGATAAATCCATCTCGGTCGGTAGCAGTAGTGTGGTAGGTGCATGGAAGGGTGACACTGCTTCCCTGGGCAGCCCGAAGAACGTCCTGTGGGGTTTCCACAGAGATGGCATCAACAGTCACCCAGACTGAAAAGAAAGTAGGAAGTGGGAGGGAAAAGTCAATGACATGGACATACCCACTCATTGCTCATGGGACCTCTGAGCGAGTGCCAAGGAACGTCCTTGCTCCTCCAGCCACAGCTAGACATGCCAGGCATGCTGCAACAGTGGTCTTAGCCAAGGCACGCCAGCGTCCTCCTCCAAGACTGGGGTGAGAATGGGCACACGTACCTTGTTCACCTTAACTCCATCTTGCAGTACCACGAAGAAGTTACACACATTTGGTGGCTAACAGCCCGGCTTTGAACCTCAGCCCCACCTCTTACCAGCTGTGAGAACTGTTCTAAGCCTCAGCTTTCTCACTGGTGAAACAGGAGTCCTAATATTTCCCAGGGTTGTTGGGGAAATTAAAGAACATGCCATGTATAACTATTTTTTCTTATTGCCTGGCACATAGAAAGTTCTCAATAAACATAACCTGCCATCTTTTTTGTTGTGATGATGGTTTATTTATTTATTTAACAAGTATTTATGAAACACATGTGGTAATGAATTTGATGAAAAAGATTAAATCAAGGTAAAGAGATAGAGAGTATTCCCAGGGGAGTTTATTTTACATAAGTTTATCAGGAAAAGGTGAGAAAAAGAGTGTGGCCACACCAGTACCTCCCATGACACATACTCTTCTTTCCGTGGGGAGGTGACTCTCCTCCAACAGGAGGTGGGGTTTATGTCCCACCCTTTGAGTCTGGGTGACCTGTGCCTACACTGTAAGTGCTGCTACATGGCTCTGAGACTAACTCAGAAGAGGCCATATACTTCACCTGGTCCTCTTGAGATGCTTACCCTGGGAACTTAAGTCGATATTCTGTGAGAAT